AAAAAAAAAAAAAAAAAAAAAGAAAAAAAAAAAATGTACTAATTGGAGGTCAGCTGACCAGATCAGAGAAACAACAGCTGTGCTGGGCCTGACAGAACGGAACTCATTTAGACACAAGACATTATCAATGAATGTTACCACTACACAGAACATTTGCATGATTAGTTGGACTCTGTCATTTCCGCCAGAGATGGGAAAGGACCTGTTCAAGATCACAGTTAGAGGCAGAACTGGATTAGAACCCAGGTTTCCTGACTCTCAATTCTATGCTCTGAACACCACACATACCTCAGAAGTCCTAAAGGAAGTACATTTCATCTCCTTGTATCACACATCTCTGAGACATGTTGCTGAGTTTGGTCTCCATCCTGCCCACTCATCAAAACTGCACTGGATTAAGCAGCTAAGTCCTTCCACTCTTTGCATGCAAAATTCTGCTCACATTAGTGGCCTGAGATCTGAAACAGGCAGGCTATGAACCAACTTTTGCCCAAACTCACCCTTTAGGAGCATGAGAGAAATGGGGGTCTGTGTTCCCTAGGGTACCCTCACTTTGGAGTCTCAAGGAACAAAAAACTTGGGGATGAATTTTTAGAGATCACTTCCCCAATTAAATTTCACTATCCAGATTATTGAATCATGCAATGAATTTAGCAGGAAGGTTCCTCACAGGGGCAGAGAAATTCTTGGAAAGGAACTGTGGAGTCAGAAGAATGCCCCAGAGTTGAAGCTCTCAGTCTCCAGTCAGCACAGAGAAAGGGCTCTGCACTCAGGGCTGGCTTGTCAGTGGATGAGTGGAGCTCCCATCTTCAATATTTTAAAAACAAAACAAAACTCAAAAAGCCTCCTCTTTCTCAGATCCTAATCAAACTACCAGCCCCTCCAGGTCTGAAATGTGAATAAACAGGATTAAATGAAAGTGAGGGTGCTTGATAAACCCTATACACCATGCCCATTTTATAATTTTTCCCTGCCTGATATCTCCCTGGACATTCTCCAAAGCCCAGTTCAAATGTCATTTCTGAAGACCCAATCAGAACAACCCGAGTTCATCCTAGCTCCACCATCTATTTGCTGTGTGACCTTGAACAAGTGGTTTAACTTCATTAGGCCTCAGTTTCTTCCCTTGCCAACGGGGGGTCCTAATAATAACCATTTTATAGGACGATTAAGGGCTGACCCAAGGTCACTCCTGCAAAAGCCCCAGCATAGTGCCTGGCAGAGAACAGGACTCTATAAATATTGAATGCATTGCAAGGGAACCAGAACACTCACTCATCTCTTGAGGTCTGACCTAGCACTTTCCATTCTTCAGTCCCAGGCTTTCCCCCACCCTTTTGCCCAAAACGGGGCAGAGAAGCCTGAGCCAACCTGTTCTTACCTTGCTAAGGTCCCCTAGGGCCATGACCTTGGCCACTGGCCTCTTGCTGAGTTGCTCCTTCACCCAGAGCTCAAGCTGTTTGTTCCACTTCATGGTGAACACATAGAGGGCATAGGCCAGCAGAAGCAGCAGGCTCTCCCACCAGACAATGAGGCTATCCAGGAAGAAGAGGATGAGCATCATTAGGTCAAGGATGTAGAAGGTGATGTCACGGAACAAGGGCCACCAGGTGAGGTTGAGGATCTCCCGGGAGAAGAGGGCACAAGTGCCAATGACAAAGAGGATGTTGAACACCGCAGAGCCCACTATGGTGCCGATGCCCACATTGCTATGGGAGATGAAGATGCCGATGAGGGAGGTGAAGAGCTCGGGGGCAGAGCCTCCAGCAGCCATGAAGGTAGCACCGGCCACATCCTCAGAGATCTGCAGCTTGTCTGTGATGACACCCAGGGCTGGGACAAAGTACTCGTCACAAACGATGGCCAAGGCTACAAAAACATACAGCATGCCAAAGATGTGCAGGACCACCCAGCCCTGCCTCCGCTCCTTCACACTGAACAGGTCTTGGGGGTACTCTGCCTTGGGGTGGAGGTCTGGCTGCCCAGAAGGCAGTACTGAGGGACTGGGAGCCTCTGGCATCCCAGCTGTTGTCAGACTGGGGGAGGGGACAGTGGACGAGACTGGGACTGGCTCCACAACCACACAGTGATGGACCTGAGTGGTCAGACTTGCCCTGACCCTGGGAGCTGCTGGAGTGGTGGGTGCTGGGGAAGGGTTCTTCACCAGCCCCCAGAAGGTGGCTGAGGATATTCCAACGGTCGGTGCACTGGTTCTGGATGAGGGATTCCTAGCCTTCCACGCAGCAGTAGAGGCTTTGGTTTCTGTCGTGATGCTTACTGTCACCTGCCCCTCAGAGGTGGCTGCGGTGTGCTCCAGGACTGCTCCTTGGGGTGTTGTCAGGTTTTTTTTCCCCACTAACCCCCGGTGGTTGGTTGAGCTATTATTGTCCACTCTTCTGGTGGTAGTTAGGGCCTTCTCTTCGGCCACATTCCTCGGAGAAGTCAAGATGTCTGTTTCTAAGTCATTTATCAGGAAGGGTAGGGCGTTATCAGTTACTCCCTTGAGAGGAGTTGGGGTGGTTTCCTCCAATACTCTCTTGGAAGGGTTGGTCTCCAGTATTTTGTTGGTTGTCATAATTTCACTGTCTTTCACTGTTGCTCTCGGGGTGATCCCATGGCTCCTGGTCATTGTCATGAATGTGGATGGTGCGTAACTGTTCACCATCCTACCAAGTGGGGATGGGGTGTATTTCTTCACCTTTCCCCTGGCTTGAGTTGGGCGGTAGCTCTTCACTTCTCCCCTGGGTGTTGCTGGGGTATAATTATTTACCGCTGGTCTGCCTGAAGTTGGAGGGTAGTGATTCAGTGCTCCACTGGGTGTAGCTGGGGTGTCTTCCTTCACTTTTTCTGTGCGGGCTGCTGCTGGGCTGTCGCTGCTCTTGGGTGTTGCTGGAATGACGTTGGCTATTCTTCTAGGTATACTGGGGGTGCTCTCCATTGTTACACCAGGTGTTGTTCCATCTCTGCCTACTGTGGCTTGGGGTGCCCATGTCTCAACCTCCATTTCAGAGCTAGATTTTGGAGGGTCACTGCTCACCATCATCATCTCATTGTTGGAAAGGTCCCGGCTGGCTAGTTTTACAGGGTGTTGGGAAGAGACTGCTGCCCACAGTGAGGGGAGCCCCCGGGGGCTCCTCAGGTACTGGTAGGTGGAACCCATGATCAGCATTCCCAATAGGAAGAGGAGGCGCCTCCAATGAAGCCGCTTTGGCCAGAGTAACCGCCTCTCCTGCACTCCCATCCTGATCAATTTCCCCATGATGGCCAGTTATGCCTGGTTACAGAAGGCCTCTCATCCTGTCCACTGAAAGATGGGGGCTGCTCTGGGATTCAGATGAGAAATCAGAGAAGATTCGTCCATGAAGCCCAGCCAGGGGGTAACCACAAACCTAGAAAGAAGAAAAAAGAAGAGGTTATTTGCTCCTAAAAGGAGAGCTGGGATCGACCAAACCCTCATCTGGAAGAGTGACTATTCACACAGGGGCCTTTGTAGTGAAAGGCAGTTGTTTCTTCTGGAACAAAACAACCCCTGCCCCGTGCTCCACAGGGCAATGTCTGCTCATGGGAAAAAGAGCATCTTGGGGTCCTCTTTGCTGTGTAGGCATGCCAGCAGCCCAGGTTCCTGAGCTGGGTCTACCCAGCCCTCCTAGGGATCCTTGCAAGAGGTCTGCCCACACTCTGCAGGTCCAGCCAGAGTTCCTGGCAGCTCAGTCATCTGTAGCTGGTGTCCCAGGCCACAAATCTCACCTTATCCAAGGCAAAAGGGAAGTAAGGAGATATGATTTTAAGCTTTAGACAGAAAGGGGCAGTAGTGGAAAGCAGTGCAAGGCTCTATGTGTTTTTACTGGACTGATTTTAAAATGAATTCCACCATCATTCAGAGAGGACAAAGCTTAAAATTTAATGTCATGAAGCTTCCCAGACAGTGTGTGGTGTCATGGGAGGAACATGGGGAATAGAGTCAAAGGCTAGGTTCCCAGATCTGCTGCTTACTAGCTGTGTCACCCCGGACAGGCTGAACCTCAGTGCTTCACCTGTAAAATGGGCATGATAACATATGCACTGATTATGCAAAGATTATCTCTGAAAGGACATCTGGAAAAGGGAAACTAATGGTCAGGGATCAGAGGGAGACTTACTTTTCAGTATATCCTATTGTTCAGTCTAACCGTTTAACCTTTTTATCCTGTGCATTGTATAATATTTTAAATTTAATTTCATAGAAATAATAATAGTAATAACAATACCCATCTATGTAAATAGTAATAACAATAGCTATGCCACAGGAATGTTGGGAGAGTAAAAACACATCCGGTCTGGGAAAAGCATTGTACAGAATCAATGCCCCATAGGGGTTAGTATTACATAAGGACTCAGGAGGGAAAAACATTTAAGGCCCTCAACGAATTCTCAATTTATAAAGAAGGACAGAGAAGCCCAGCCCAAATAAATATGAAATCCCTAATCAATGTCCACAGGTTATTACAAAACAGTAACTAGAAATGATCAGTTTTGCATATGAAGTAATATATTACAAGTTAGATGAATAACCCATAGAATCTTAGGTCATTAAAGGTGGAAAGAATTACTGACACTGTTTAATGCAACTCCCCATTTGAGACATGAAGAAACTGAGGTCCAGAGACATGTGACTTGCTCAACATCACACAGCTAGTGAGCAGCAGTGCAGATGAGCTTTCTAATGTCCCAGTCTTTCCAGCATACCACGCTAATTAGCAATGCAAATACAACTGTCTTAAAAAGCAAAATAAGTATGGAATAAGTGAATTTCCTTCTTTGTCCTTGATTCCTGTCATTGTCTTTCCACCATCTCCCTGTCTACCCTAACCCTCGCCATATACTCAACACTCTGAATCTCCAAAAGAAACTTTGGAGAGTATCTCTTTCTGGTGTGCCACTGTTATGTAACAGAGCTGAGCTGGCACCCCAGCTGATCCCTCCTACCTAATCACATCATTTACCTTCAAACCTGGACATCTGGGTATCTTCTCAGTTCTGGAAACTTGTCAGAATCCAGGGTCTCAAAGAGTGAGTCTGAAGCTGTACAGTAGGGAACACCCCATCTCCTGCTCCCAGCTCCCCTATGGAATCCTAATTCAAGGCAGGGTCAGGTATGAAGGGCATCTCAGGGGAAGGATATCCAATCCCTGCTAATCCCCACCTCTAAGAAGCTTATCAGGGCATTGTACAAGTTCTGGGTCCCACTGTCTCTGCCAGAGCCTGAGAGAGTAGACCTTCCCCCAAAGACATAGATGGATTCTCTGTGGGCCCCTGCATTCAAGGGGGAAACTGGGGAAACTTCTCAAACTAATTTCTAAGCTCTGAGAATGAGAGATGATCCACAGTTTCCGGAAAGATTTGGAAAGATTCTGAAGGCACTCTGTGAGAACCAAGAGAAAGTGCCTGAGGCTTAAAAGATCAGAAGACCTCAGTTAGCACCAGGCTCTGTTTGCTACTGTGTGATTCTAAATGTAATTTAAACGTAAATGGAGAGATAATAACACCTGTCCTACCTATTTGAAGGGTGGATGTGACAATCAAAGTTAAAAATAAGGGAATATCTACTCAATTTTGCTGTAGAACCTAAAACTGCTCTAAGAAATAAAATCTATTTTTAAAAATGAGGGAATGTGGGAGAAATACTTTACAAACTTTAAAGCATTTCACACATGAAAAATATTTTATTAGGCCTAAGGGAAATTTTTGAGGGAGAGGGCACTGACAGATCTCCCCAGTGCAGGCTGGGACATACTGTCAACTGAAACAAAATGCACAACCTAAAAGTAAATAAAACCAAATGTTTTATTTGGGCATTACTGAGGACTTAGGCCTGGAATACAACCTCTCAGATAGCTCTGAGGGACAGTTCCAAAGAGGTAAGGGAGGAGCCAGGATATATAGGAGCTTTTGCCAAAAACCCCAGGTAGTCAAACACCAAATTATTACTGCTAGTTAAAGAAAAACCAGACATCTCGAGTTAACTGATTTTCTATATATGGGACAATGTAAGAGTCTGAGCTTAATGAAATTATTCCTTTGATATGCACCTTACCTATGGGGGTGGGGGCACTGCAGTGCCTGATGGCTTGATGGCCACAACATTCTTTGCTTACTGATATGGCAGGTGACATCTGTCCACAGCACCTCCTCTTGGTCATAAATTCGACCAACATTTGGGAGGCATTTTATGACCAATTTTGTCCCATGGCTCTAGGAAGTGGTTCCTGGATCAGGCAAAGGTTCTGTTGATAGGCCACTCAATATGCTACTTTTTGGATCAGGCCCTATTGATAATCTAAAATTCTCTGGAATATGCTGGCGGTCCAGTGGTTAGGATTTGGCGCTTTCACTGCCCGGGCCCGGGTTCGATCCCTGGTCGGGGAACTACGATCCCACAAGCCGCATGGCACAGCCTAAAAAAAAAAAATTTCTCCGGATCTCCTGTCTTACTAGTCTATTATGATCCAGGAAATATTTTCTGCTTCTTCCCATACCTAGAGTTGCACTATTACGATTACTCTACATAAAGTTTTACAATTTAAAAGATCCACTGTCTGGCCACTGACGAGTAGTATTTTAATAGCGACTCAAACCAGTAAGATGCAAGGGGCATCCCCATAAGAGAGTGCAAAAGATGTAGCCTCGGGCTTCCCTGGTGGCGCAGTGGTTAAGAGTCCGCCTGCCGATGTAGGGGATACGGGTTCGTGCCCTGGTCCAGGAAGATCCCATGTGCCGCAGAGCGGCTGGGCCCGTGAGCCATGGCCGCTGAGCCTGCGCGTCCGGAGCCACAACGGGAGAGGCCACAGCAGTGAGAGGCCCACGTACCGCAAAAAAAAAATAAATAAATAAAAAGATGTAGCCTCCACAAAATCTAGAAAGTTTACTCCCAAAAACAGTCTAAGAAAGTAAAGGGCCTTCATTGTACAGGTGGATGCAATGAAGGTTAAGATGACAAAGGCCCCTTCTTGGCTGGGACCCCTTATGACAAATTTCCCTGAGAGCTGGCACAGCCAGACCAAAAACAACAATAAAAAACTGCTCAGAATCCCAGTCTATTCGACTGGCTGTCAAATGTACACCATATGTGTACCGCCCAGATGGCAGAGACCAAGCTCTCAAAACAAACACACACACACAAACACACACACACATACACACACACACACACACACCTCTAAGAATATCAGGTAGAACCTTCACATCTCAAAGACACAAGGAGAGAACTGCAAGTTCTCCCTAGAAGGGCTTTTGTTTCTTTAAGGTCAGAATTCTGAAAAAACGTTTTTCCAAGCTGGCTTTCTCTAACTTAACTGCTTACACGATAAAAAGCCCCATATTGGCCATTTTCAGGGAGAGATTTCCTTTAATTCCCAATTAAGTAAGTACTTGTAGCTAAGTTTGTATATACACAAACCTGGCTGGGGCATTAGTTGGAGGCTGGCTTTCTGATGCCCCTCATTTAGGAAAGATATTAGGCCAGTCTCTTACCTAATCACCCAGTTTAGACAGCTCAGTGTCTCTCAACTGAGCAACCTAGTGTCTTCCAACCAGGCTTCCCTAGTATCTTTCAGCTGGGAGGTATTTTTTCCCAATGTCTTTCAACCAGGTCCCCCCAACCCAACCCGTATCTTTCAACTGGGTAGCCAGGTACCTATTGTACACTGCCAATTAAAACTCAGGAACATCAACCAATAATCGGGAGATCTGAGAACCAGGAGAGACTCACCCAAATTCATCTGGACTCTCCAAGGAGGCGAATGGGCACAAGAGGCCTCTGCTGGTACCAAGGCTCTGGTTCCTCCTAGAGTTCAGGTGACGGAGGGAAGTCTGCTCTGGGTCCTTTTAAGGTCACCCAAACTGTCAACTGAAAAAAAAAAGCACAACCTAAAACTTGAGAATTATGTTTTATTTGGGGAATTACTAAGGACTTAAGCCCAGGATACAGCCTCTCAGATAGTTCTGAGGGACTACTCTGAAGAGGTAAGGGAGGAGCCAGGATACACAGGAGTTTTTGCAGAAAACCCAGGTAGTTGAACATAGGGCTTCCCTGGTGGCGCAGTGGTTGAGAGTCCGCCTGCCGATGCAGGGGACATGGGTTCGTGCCCTGGTCCGGGAAGATCCCACATGCCGCGGAGCAGCTGGGCCCGTGAGCCATGGCCGCTGAGCTGAGCCTGCGCGTCCGGAGCCTGTGCTCCGCAACGGGAGAGACCACAACAGTGAGAGGCCCGGGTACCACAA